GCCCCCCCTTCTTCGTGATATTATCATTTGCTTTTGTTGCCCCACTTTCTTCATTCCTTTTGCTTATCCGACTATCTCTTCACATATCCCAACTTTTCCTCCTTTATTACTTTACTCTTATTTCCTCTAAAAATGTTAATCCCCCATACATGCTTCTTCTCCATTGCCTTTATCCATCATGTTCTTTGTTATTCTAGAAAGCTTGGCTTTTATCAGCTTCATTGTGCATCAGTCTCTCGCCCTTTCCTTTATTTTGCTTATTAGCTTAGGTCTTTTTTTTCAATCTGTATGTGGGAGAAAGTACACATTGTGTATTTAAGATAATATGGGTTGCTTGATATGAGACTTCTACCAATTTGAAGTTCCCATAATTGTATTAAGATTTGTTTTTCAATATTTTAAGAAATTTCTGCATTACATTCTATTTAACTATAGTATGCTTTATTTAACTATTTTACTTTTCTTTTCAAGAGTAATGTATCTTCTCATTAAAAGAACTATACATGGTTAAAATCAGAGATGCTTTTTTTCTTTTTAAAATGCTAACATCTTCACATTTTGTTCTCTAATCAACTTGGTTTTGTCAAATTCCTGTAATGTCATGTGTACCATTTTGAATTTGAGCAACATGTTGATTTCATGTTAAGAACTTAAGCCACTGACATATTTTAGTACTTTCGTCAAACAGCATTGTCATAAATTATAATTTGTTGCAACTTTGCTGCAATGTTACTTTTACTTATATCTATTTGAATGTGGGTTTACTACAGTGTTCTGTTCTATATTTTATTTGGTTCAAGTATAAATTCCTTCAAAAAATTTGTGCATTTCACTGTCAACTAAATATATGAAGATGAGTTTTCTTTTGCTTTCAGGTATTTGAAGTATTTAGGATATGAAGTTAAATATGTGCGCAATTTCACGGACATTGATGACAAAGTAAGTTTACTTTAACGATTCATTTTTAATATATAATCCACATTAAGTACACATTTTTTAGCTTTTGAATTTTTACTATGCTTGCTAGCTTCTTCCAGTTTTGGGCTCCTTAACTTATTGTTTATGTTTTAATATAGCCAATCAGCGGTTTCAGTTTGCCCTTCTTTTGTTACTTGAATTGATACCAAACCGGAGAAACAAGTCAATATATATATCAACATATTTATGATATTGTTAGTCTACAATATGAATATATGTGTGTGTGTATTTAAAAGTTCACTATTGGAACCAGTTTGGCCCATGGCGTTGATTGATCTTTGATTTGACTGATATGAATTGATGCTTTGGAAATGATATGAATGTTTGACATGGGACAAAGTTGATTGAATTTGGAACTCAGATTTACATGCATACTTCTCAGCGCTTATGGATTTACACTTCTAACACCTATCTAGTGTTACAATAATCAATTTATATGTGGAAGATTTACATGCATATTTCTCAGCGCTTATGGATTTACACTTCTAACACCTAAACTTCTATTTCTACATATGTGCCACCTTTCCTATGCATGAAAAGGCACATTTCACTATTTAAAAGCTAAAATAATAACATTTTTGATGAAATATGAAAGATTTGGGTGGTTTAAATGCAAAAATCGTAACATTTTTGATGTAATATGAAAGATTTGGGTGGTTTAAATGTAAAAAAGTAAACAAATAAGTATTTGACTTGTAAATACATAAGAATTGGGTGTTATCTAGTTAAATGCTTTTTTATTTTTTTGAAGAAATTAGAGCATCATCTGTCATTTAGTTGATTTTAGCAATCTCACTTATGTTTTGTATAGTGAAGTTAAACTACAGGTAATCAGGAGTTAAATTGACAGATCTGCGATTTTGTTTTTGTTTTCTAGTCTGTTCAAAAGTTGAGCTTTTATTGCATGAATATGTGAAGTCCTAGATACATATTCAAGATAGTCTTTTGGCTTCTCCCATTATTTTGGCTCACTGGATCTAATTTGAGAAATATGAGCTTGCCTTTTGCTTCTTTTTCAGTTAAATATTAAGGGAAATTTACGTACATACCACACAATTCTTATGAATATTAAGGGAAATTTACGTACATACCGGACAATTCTTATGTATTTATGTACCTCACACCTAAACTTTCATATCTACACACACAGCACTCAAATCAATAATATCATATAAAAATAGCACTATTATCACTTTTGAAAAGAGAAATACTCTTTTTCATGCATAGGTTTTCAAAGTGCCAAGTTTGAAAATATGAAAGTTTAGGTGTGAAATATGTACATATGTAAGAATTGTGTGCTATTTATGTAAGAAGTTATTTGATTGCAATGAACTATGCATCTTGTCATATTTTCACAATTGAGTACCTTTTATTAAATTTTTATACAGTTATTCGGCTCTTTTAACCTTTTGCATGCACTATTGTTTAAAAAGAATTACAATCTTTAGTATTGTTCTTAAACATGAATTTCATTACTTTCATGTAGCCATAATGTGTGGTGATTTCTTATGTGACATGTTGACTATAGTCAATGTTTTTATTTTTTTTCAAAATTGCTCTGCTGATGCTGAAGGCCTTTTTCTCAGGGTGCGCCATTTTTTGATAGTTATGGTGTTAGATGTTATATTAGGAAATAAGGAATAAATTATTTCCTTGAATTGGGAGCTATTTCCTTTCCTATTTTATATTATTTCTTTTATCTCCAAATAATTAATATAAATTAATTATTGGATATAAATATTAGGTGATATGTCTTTCTTTTTATATTATTTTCTTCTTATTATATTTCATATTCTAGGATTCATGTAAGGGTTATTTAT